AAAATCAAAGTCATGTTCCTAAGTGTTACTTTTTAAATAACCAGTTAACGGGTAAAGGAGGATAAAACTTAATCTGTCCTAAAAAAAAAAAAAAAAAACATTGTAAGGTGAGAAAAAAAAAGGTTAAATTTAAGGATTTGAATGAAGTCAGTACTTTTATAGTTAGTTTGATAAAATTATGAATATATTATTTTTTTCTCTATCCATAGGCCATTGGGAACTGTCTACGACGTATATGATGCAATTTAGACTTTCTGCAACTAATTTATGCAAGTAGTTATGAACAATTTTTATCCAAGACTCGTGTCCACATTGGCTCATTGGTAATCTTGGGAGCTATAATCTTAGAGTTTGATCCCCACAACGTAAACAGCACAGATAGCCCATCGTACAATTCTTCCTTAAAAAACTCATAACTTTAAGCGATAAAATACGAAAAAGTATAAAGTTAGAATGTCAACGTTCACTACTCAGAAATATTCTTAGTGACATCTTGGGTTGCATAAACATTATAATCAGTCCAATCGAATTGGACTCGTGTAACTCACAAAATTTGGAGAAATCGAGCATGACTGACCAACACTTGGCTTTTATGAGTATGATGCTATACTGTTATTATAATAAAAGTATACCACATAGCTGTATTGATTTTACATTATAATTAATTAATGGTTATACTCCAAGTCAAGTGTTCAAGCCAAGTAGCAATATTAAATGGTTTCTATTGGAACAACAAACATAGAATATTTTAACTTTTAAAACAGCAATCTGGCTATTATATCCTACCTTACAATAGCTTATAAAATAATTAATTTACTTTTTGACTTTTCAAAGCATGAAGTAGTACAGAAGAAAACAGACTATACACCTTTGTGTACACTTCCACATATACAGTAACCAAAGTATCCTTGTGGACAATATGCAGTTTCAGCTGCTGTTACAAGCATATGACAGATTATTTGACTTTCGGGAGATGACGATGTGAAATGTAAAGAAATTTTACATATTTAGTTTACGGCAAGTACAACAAAACAGTTCCATGTGTTGTACAATTCTAACCTTGTGTTCTGGTGCTCATTAGTTCTACTTTTTTTTAATGAGAATTATAAATTAACTATAGATTATTGTAGTACTTCTATTTGATAATTATGAAGGAAATTCAGTACATTTGAGTGAATATTTATGCTTCTAGTAAATCAGTCTGTAAGAATAAGAGGTTTTTGGGTCCTGGAAATTAGTTAATTCCATATCAGAAAGTCATGAAATTTTGTTCTTGGTCAAGCACACTAACCCTGTAGCTAATTTCTGCTATCAGTCTTAATAATTTAGTTAGATTATCTTACTAATTTATTAATTTACATGTTATTAGTTATAAGGAACACGGTGCTCATTAGTTCTCCAAGTTTTTGGAATTGTGTTTAAAATTTTTGATAGTGGTACATTATTTTAATTTTTAATATAAAATTTATACTTGGAAATAAGTTATGGAGTTAAACACCCAATCTGGCAAAATATTGGAAAACCAAAAGGCTTAAAACTTGTTTTATAAACAAGTTAACTACACATGCATTTTGTCTATATTCTTCTTAATCTCTCCATTGCAGCTCAAAATCAAGGGGTTGTAAAAAATAGAATTTCATATCTGTCTTTGGTCTCTCACAAGTCACTGCTCAATAACTTTTAGTTCAACACCTGAACTCATCAGTTGGGCTGGGTGATAAGTGACAAACACTTGTATGAAATGCTATTTATATATAAATGCAGTCTAATGCTTTACAAGTTTTGGTTTAAACACTTAAAGCTAACAAAATATGGAGAATTAATAGGTCTAAGAATTGTTTTAAAAATGAGTTAATTGCAGAGGTTGTTTTCACATTCTTCTTGCTTTGTCCATTGTGATGTGAAATCAGAGCTGTATGTAAAAAAAAAAGCATTCAAGATCTTTTATTTTTATCTCCCACAAGTTACTGCCCAATAAACTTATAAATAAAATTTTGAATAAATCTGTTGGAAACTTATTACTAAGATAAATTTTGAGATATCTCTATGTTTTTTAATCATTTTTAAATCATGTTTTTATTAACCCTTTGAGTGCATAATTAAATTTTGGGTGGGTTCTCAAAAAAGTTTCAATTATCCACTAACAAATGAAATGTAGAATTTTACTTTTTTTAGTACTTTTTCAATAACAAAATCCACTAGTTCTGTTTTTTCTCAGTGATGTATGCACACTTGGTACTAAGGTGGGAAATTCAAGGACGTGCGAGTATCCTAATTGTTGCACTATGAGGAAAAGTTTTTGTGATACTGTGGGTTAAATCTGCTTGTCACAACAAATGGCCATAAATATTTCAGCATGTTGATTGTCTAAAGTATAAAATATTGCAGTATATTTGGTTTTTAGATTTTACTTTATTGTTGTTTTTACTATAGTGAATTGTTATTACTATTATTAAACAATTACCAAGCAAAAATTGAAAATTTGTATAAGATAAAAGGTCTTTTTGACCTATCTTATTGTATAAATATATGCAAATTATTTCTCAGTTGAATCTGTTGTATCATTTGAAAAGTCTTTTAGTCATTTCATCTTATTGAGGTTTTGCATATGTTCTGTCTCCTTAAATATTATTTTACTAAACCAGTTTATTAATTTTCATAGAAGAATGTGTTTAGTTCTGTGTTTTATAGATAGAGCTTTTCTAAAGATTATTACATGATTAATTTTAAAAAGTCACAAAAAACTGCTGTAGTTCATTCTATGAAACCCTCATTTGTTATGATGCAATTTAACTTTAAGACCCATTGAACAGATATATGAATGCACAGACGAAAGAGAAAAAAACTGATTTAATTATACAGAATTTTGTAAATCCTTTTAACAAATGTAGATGTGTAATTACATAGCCTACTGGTAATTTATTTTTTGTTGTAATAATGCTACATTTCTTGTTTTGTTACAGGTGTTCCCTGTGTTAATTCAGTGTTTGCCTCTTCAAGAAGATTTTGATGAAAACACCACAGTTTTTAGATGCATCTATCACCTATTTAACTTAAAAAATGAAGTGGTGAGTGTAAATGTTGTTTAAGTTGCATTTATTTTATTTCATTAACTCTTTCAGCACGGGCTCAGTCCCCGGGACCAAACTCGTAACAGTTTTGTGCTTGTTATAGTTATCATGCTATAACTTTTTAATTAGTAAGCAAATGTTAACGTAATTTGGCAGATTATCAGTATATATTACAATGCTTTCATACGCAAAATATCAATTTTTTTTTTTATTAAGTCTTAAGGTTTGTAAAGCAATGTTTTTCTCATGTCTTTTTTTTTTTTTTCTTCTTTTTGCAT